TACTTTCCTTGTAATTTTGGGAAGTCGTGTCCTCTAACACACAGGCCAAAATACACCCATGAACAACTGAAACACCCTGCCTTGTCCATACTGAGAGATTATAGTCCCCCTCACCACCCCTTTTTAAAAATTTAAAAATTTTATTCTTGTGTTTCATTTTGGCTTTGTTTTTTCGGTGGTGGCGTCTGACCACTCCAGATTTTGCTAGGGAGCATCTAGCTTGGGTTGGTTGATATTTTGTACTCTGTTCATTCATTCAGCCATCCCTCGACAGAATGACTAGGAGGAGGAACTCTCAACAAAGAAAAGAACCAGAGACAATGTTCTCTGCCACAGAACTAAGGGATATGGATATAAGCAAGATGTTAGAGATGGAATTCAGAATAGCAATCATGAAATCAACAGCCTGGCTTGAAAAAAGCATTAGTGACAATATAGAATCTCTAAGGGCAGAAATGAGATCTAATCAGGCAGAACTTAAAAATGCTATGAATGAGATGCAGTCTAAACTGGAATCTCTTACAGCCGGGGTAAATGAGGCAGAAGAGCGAATCAGTGATCTAGAAAAAAACTGATAGGAAGGAAGCTGAGGAAAATAGGGATAGGCAGCTAATAGCCCATGAAAATAGATCAATGAAATGATGCCATGAAACGTTCCAATGTCAGAATTATTGGGATCCCTGAGGGGGTGGAGAGAGAGAGAAGACTAGAAGGTATATTTGAGCAAATGATAGCTGAGAACTCCCCTAATCTGGGGAAGGAAACAAGCATTTGTGTCCAAGAGGCAGAGATGACCCCTCCCAAAATCACTAAAAATAGATCAACATCCCAACATATAATAGTGAAACTTGCAAATCTTAGAGCCAAGGAAGCTACCCTGAGAGCAGCTGGGGAAAGAGAGTTCTTACATACGGAAGGAGGAACATCAGAATAAAATCAGACCCGTCCACAAAAACCTGACAAGCCAGAAAGGGCTGGCAAGACATATTCAGGGTACTAAATGAAAAGAACATGCAGCCAAGAATATTTTACCCAGCAAGGCTGTCATTCACAATGGATGGAGAGAGAAAGAGCTTTCAGGACAGGGAGAAACTGAAAGAATATGTGACCACCAAGCCAGCCCTGCAAGAAAAATTAAGGGGGATTCTGTAAGCCAAGAGAAACCCGTAAGTCACATAGACCGGAAGGAAACAAAATCTACAGAAACAGACTTTACAGGCAATACAATGGCACTAAATTCATATCTTTCAATAGTTACACTGAGTGTAAATGGGCTGAATGCTCCCACACAGGGTTTCAGATTGGATAAAAAAGCAGGACCCATCCATATGCTGTCTACAAGAGACTGATTTTGAGCCTAAAGACACCTCCAGATTGAAAGTGAGGGGATGGAGAACCATTTACCACGCTAATGGACCTCTAAAGAAAGCTGGGGTAGCAATCCTCATATCAGACAAATTAGATTTTAAACCAAAGACCATAGTAAGAGATGTAGGGGGACACTATATCATACCTGAAGGGTCTATCCAACAAGAAAATCTAACAATTGTAAAGATCTATGTCTTCAACATGGGAGGAGCCAATTATATAAACCAATTAATAACCAAAATAAAGAAACATACTGATAATAATACATTCATAGTAGGAGACCTCAGTACTGCACTCACAGCAATGGACAGATTATCTAAGCGGATCAACAAAGAAACAAGAGCTTTGAATGACACATTGGACCAGATGAACTTCGTAGATACATACAGAACATTCCATCCTAAAACAACAGAATACTCATTCTTCTCCAGTGCACCTGGAACTTTCTCCAGAATAGACCACATACTGGGTCACAAATCAGGTTTTAGCTGGTAGTAAAAGATTGAGATTATCCCCTGCATATTTTCAGACCACAATGCTGTGAAACTGGAACTCAGCCACAAGAAGAAATTTGGAAGGAACTCAAACACTTGGAAGTTAAAGAGCATCTGCTAAAGAATGATTGGGTCAACCAGGAAATTAACTTAAACAATTCATTGACACTAATGAGAATGAAAACACATCAGTCCAAAACCTAGCAGTCCTAAGAGGGAAATACATAGCCATCCAAGCCTCTCTCAAAAAATTAGAAAAATCCCGGGGCGCCTGGGTGGCTCAGTCATTGAGTGTCTGCCTTCAGCTTGGGTCATGATCCCAGGGTTCTGGGATCAAGCCCCGCATCAGGCTCCCTACTCGGTGGGGAGCCTGCTTCTCCCTTTCCCACTCCCCCTGCTTGTGTTCCCTCTCTCTCTGTGCCTCTCTTTGTCAAATAAATAAATAAAATCTTAAAAAAAAAATTAAAATCCCAAATGTACAAGCTAACCTTACACCTAAAGGACTTAGAGAAAGAACAGCAAATAAGGCCTAAACCAAGCAGGAGAAGAGAAACAATAAAGATTAGAGCAGAAATCAATGAAATAGAAACCAGAAAAACAGTAGAAGAGATCAACAAAACTAGAAGCTTGTTCTTTGAAAGAATTAATAAGATTGATAAACCTCTGGCCAGACTTATCCAAAAGAAAAGGGAAAGGACTCAAGTTAATAAAATCATGAACGAAAGGGGAGAGATCACGACTAACACCAAGGAAATAGAAACAATTATTAGAAATTATTACCAGGAACTATATGCCAATAAATTAAGCAATCTAGAAGAAACGGACGTATTCCTGGACACTTATAAACTACTAAGACTGAAACAGGAAGAAATAGACAATCTGAACAGACGAATAACCAGCAAGGAAATTTAAGCAGTAATCAAAAACCTCCCAAAAAACAAGAGTCCTTTATTTTTTTTTAATGATCTTTTTTTTTAAAGTTTTATTTATTTATTTGACAGAGAGAGAGCACAAGCAGGGGGAGCAGCAGAGGGAGAGAGAGAAGCAGGCTCCCCACTGAGCAGGGAGCCCGATGGCGGGGCTCAATCCCAGGACCCTGGGATTATGACCTGAGCTGAAGGCAGGCACTTAACAACTGAGGCACCCAGGTGCCCCTCTAACAAACATTTAAAGAAGAAATAATACCTATTCTACTGAAGCTGTTTCAAAAAATAGAAATAGTAGGGGGCGCCACAGAAATCTGTGGCTAACTTTTGACCCCTATTTGATGCAGTTATCACCTATTTGATAGATGTGAGATACTTGCTGTCATAATTTTCAGTTTGTGGCCAGATTTAGTACACCTATTGTAAAAAGGGAAATTAACCTGATGTGGAAACAATGTCGGTTATTAGAGATGGGTATAAGGTTACCATGTTGAAAGATTGCAGATTATTTTCCATGTCCAGTATGAAACTTTTTTCATTAGTTTTTTTTGTTTTCATTATTTAAAAGTTACAAACTTTTCAAACATTTGCTTTAAAGTTTTTTTTTTAATGTAATCTCTACCCCCAATTTGGGGCTTGAACTCATGACTCCAATATCAATGCTACACTGACTGAGCCAGCCAGGCTCCCCTCAAACATTTGCTTTAAATTGTTAATCCCAGCTGAACTGCCACTAAATGGTCAGCAGATGCTAAAAATTTTGAATTTTCTTTTAAAGCAAAGTTAGAATACTTTCTAGAGATACCATTTACTTAGTTACCTTGGATAAGGCACTTGTGTGGTTTTTTTTTTAAGATTTATTTATTTATTTGAGGGAGAATAAGGGAGAAAGAGAGCAAGCTAGCCAGTGGGGGAAGGGGCAGAGGGAGAGAATCTCAAGCAGACTCCCCACTGAGCCTGGAGCCTGACATGGGGCTCAATCTCTTGACCCAAAAGATCACGACCTGAGCCAAAACCAAGAGTCAGACACTCAACTAACTGAGCCATCTGGGTGCCCCGACACTTAAATATTCTGACCTTTGATTTCCTCATTTGTAAAATTGGCACCATGGTAATAAAAGGTGATTGTATAATAATTGATTTTTCCTCATTTTATCTTGGCAACTTCCTTGTGAAGTAGATTAGTTATTATTTTTTACTTTCATGGGAAAGATAAATTACTTGCCCAAGTAAGTGACAGTTGTTAGGATTTAACACCAAGTGCTGTGGGGCGCCTGGGTGGCTCAGTTGGTTAAGCGACTGCCTTCGGCTCAGGTCATGATCCTGGAGTCCCGGGATCGAGTCCCGCATCGGGCTCCCTGCTCAGCAGGGAGTCTGCTTCTCCCTCTGACCTTCCCCCCTCTCATGTACTCTCTCTGTCTCATTCTCTCTCTCAAATAAATAAAATCTTTAAAAAAAAAAAATAAAGATGCTTTAACACCAAGTGCTGTGATTCTGTGTCCACTGCTATTGCCAGTATTGCATTTTAAACATGTTACAGGTTTTTTGCTTTTTTTTTCCCCTGGGTTTCAGTAGCACGTAGAATACTAGTTTGTAGTATTTAAAATGGGTTCATAATGAAAAGCTTATTCTCTTATTTTCAGAAAACCTGTGGTAAGTTGGTACATACTACCACTTACCCCATGCTTTTATCTAAATTTCATACTGATTGTAGATTTTTATGTAAAAAAAAAAATTGTCATGTAAAAGGATTAAAGCGTAAGCAGTGGAATAGAACAACAGTAATATAGCAGTTAACCTAGTGAACTGCTAATTTGGCTCTGGGATGTCTTCCTCAGTGGCTTTCTTTGCTTGTAGGTACTTTGGAAAGCTCGCCAGAGCAGTAACAAGTTCTCTCAGCTATGTTTGATTTTGTTTGTGGCATGGTCTGTCCGTTTCAGAAATAGATGAATCGACAGTGCTCTTTGTACTTCAGTTATCAAATCACTGTGCCTAGTCATTGGGTTGCAGATGTCTCCTTATCAGGAGGTTTAAGGTAATCTCTAAAAACTGCTGCTCTGATTCTGAATTGCTGCATATTGTGGTAAAGATAAGTTTTTAAAAGCATAGCTACAAACCATACTAGTAAATACTTCTATACATTTTTTTAATACTTTGAGTTACCCTGCCAGATATATTCAAAATATGACATTGCTCTGCCATTTTTTGACAGACCCCATATCCCTCTGGACAGAATGCAGGTCCAACCACGTTGGTATACCCTCAAGCCCCTCAGACAATGAATTCACAACCTCAAACCCGTTCTCCGGTAAGTACGCAGAAGCTTGTTCTAGATAATGTTCTCCATTTAAGTTTGTGTTTTTAGGAGCTTGGGTTCCTTTGGCTAAAATTTTTACTTGTTATTGGGAACTTGTTCCAAGGACAATTTATTTTATTATGATTTATTATTATTATTATTATTGATTAGCACTGCATTTTCAGACTTTTAATATAGGAATAATTTAAATTTATTGAGAGAAGAAGAAATGGAGCTTTTTATCTTCTTTTACTTTTCTGTGGCATGATTTTTTTTTAAATCTGGTTGCATTCATTTCAACTCTTAATTTGTTGTACTGTTCACAATTCAGGAGGAGAGTAAATGATTTTAAAAGTAAATTAAATTTCATTAATTAGACTCTCAAATTTCAGTGGTTTGGGGGAAGTAAATTTCTGAATTGGTGTCACTAGATCAGTTCTAATCATTTGACAGTTTGGACACATGCATGACATACACCAATGGTGTATTCATTTTTTTCAGATGGTACATAAATTGTCTTACAAATTAAAATGCTATCATCCTCTTTGCTCATCCTTTACATGGATTGCAATACATATTGCAAAGACTGAGAATTTACTCAAGGTTCATCCTTCTGCTTCACAAAAGTATACAGTTGCTTCAGCTGTCCATTCCTTAGAACGTCGCTTCCTGCCCTGCATGACTAGTTTTTGCCAGAAGGTGCTTCTGTAACATCTCACATTGTATCTCACATTCCTACTTGTATCTCAGCTCTGTGTTTTCCTCAGTACAGGTATCTTTGTTTGGTTCCCTACCCCTGCTTTTTTGCCTGTAGTATAGGGGTATTTCATTGCATTAGCTCCTATTCATTTGGTTTTATGCATGAACTGAGAAATGTTGAAATGTATGAAAGATTGCTCAAACAACTAGAGATCCTAGACTGCACCGCAATGTAATCTCTTTCTTACCCTCTTCCTGTCTTCCTTTTCCCTGTTGCCCTCTTCTCCAGTACCTGTTCTTAGATCCTGGTTCTCCCCAGGGGGTGGAAGAACCTTTCTAAAGAGGTGGGACTTTGGTCCTAGTTGCCTGTATGCTTGTCTTTTTTTTTTCTGAAATGATCAACAAGATGTCTGATGCGAGTTGTGTTCTGAGAGTGGTTTGGGGATATGGATACTTGACTACTTGGAGTGGGCCTGAGATCTCTCCAGATTAATTTAGATAGGCCCTGCTTCTAGTCATTAAACATGGGACATTATGGTAAGCTCTTATTACAAAGAATTCTATGGCCCTCTTCACCCCCATCCCCCTTTTATAATTATTGAAAGAAAAGAAATTTACATGGTTAGAACTGGCGCAAAACCTGACTGAAGAGCTGCATCTCTAAACCAGTTTTTTTGACAGCCCAGCAGAACAGTGCCAATACATTGCACAGACAACTGGAAGAGGAGGAAGGTTTTGGAACAGACTCCCGTTTACAGGTCCCTGGCTGGAAGAGGCTGGATAAAATACTGCATTGTAAGCAATATAACAAACTGTACTTCTTGCAGGCAGTGGTGCCTCTGGCACTCATTATTTTTGACCACATCCATTTATTGGCTGATGAACAGAAATGCTTTGATTGCTTCTTCTCTGAAAGTCTAACCTAGCATGGCAGTTTCTGCCAGGCATACTGGGGAAAAGAATAACAAATTGGGTGGGTCTTGTTGATTGGGAATTAGACAGGAGTAATTTGGGGTTTAGATTTTTCTTTATTTTAAACTTGAAGAGGGATATCCCTTTCAGATAAATTTGATTTTAAAAGATAAATTTCAAGGCTTCTTTTTCCCTCTTTCCATTTTATAATTGAATATCAAAGAGGAAATTGTCTGCAGTTGTCAGCCATTTTTCTGTGGTCATAAACTCTTCAGATACTATCCTCTATGCAATTTTTGCCATCTGCTCTGCTAGTGACCATTATCACCCCCATTACTAAAAACCACACACATAACATTCCATTACATATCCCAAAACAAGTGCAAGACTAGCAAACCCTAGACTACTCTTGCTTGTTGTTTTGGGTCCAGTTTTCTTTATTTCATTTGTGTTGGTGCTGGGAGGGTGAAGTTGGGATATGAAATTTGACAGGATTGCATTTTCTTTCTACATCCCAAGTTGCCATAGTCTAGTCTCATCCATCCCACAGCTATCCCAACTGGTGAGGAGAGGTAAGCTGTTGTACTAAGGAAGGGACCCTTCCCATGGCTTTGTAGAGCAGCTAAAGCTTACTCCATTCTATTTCTGCATTAATGGGCCATTGGCAATTGCACAGTTTAGGCTATTCTGTTCTTCCCTGGACAGCTGCCTTTGCAATCCAAGTGGCTTCAAGTGGCCCCCTCCCTCTTTCAGGTTATCTTTGTGTCCGTATTTCTATTTGATGTATGATATCTTAGTTAAATTCATATTATTGAAAATCTTGTTTAAAAGCAAAAAGATACTGATTAGCTACCTATCTGTTCATTTTCTGGTTATGCTGGAACTCTTTAAACAATAGTTTATTTTTAAATAGCCTCCAAAATACCTTTTAAATGCCTAATTGAAAGAGGGGGAACAGTTTGGCTTTTGCGGTAACCTGTATCCACTGGTTATATTTTGTGGTGCTAAGTGCCAAAGATACATCAGTGTTATGTTGGCCCTGCCCTGTTGCCAGCTGTGCCCAGAAGAGTGAGTGAGTGGGTGGGGTGGGTGGGTGGCATTAGCATTGGATCCAAGTGCACAGAAGGCTGCTTTCCTTAATATCTACAGTCCTCACCATCTTAAAGACCCCTTAAAAAAAAAGAAAGAAATGAAAGTTTCTATTTTTAATATGAGCCAGCAGCGACTACAGTTTGTTCTGTTGCTTACAGTTACCCATAGGATTAAGACTATTGTCATTCCAAGTGGAAAGCTCAATAGCCAATGGTGACTAGTGCAAAATAGACTAGGGTACTTTCCCACTAACTTGTGTTTTGTTTTGTTTTGTTTTAAGTATATTTGTAATTTTATAAGGTACTCCTCTTGCTCATAGTTCTCTTTTGACTGGAATCTTCCAAATAGATGAAGTTGCGACTTTTATTTTAGAGCCTTAGAAATGGGGCCTTTCTGTGGAACAGTGATAAGACAGGTACTGCTGTACTCAGGTTAATTTTTTAACATGGCCCTTCTCTCCCATTTTCTTCAAAAGTGTCATGAAGAAACATCTCACTTCCACCCCCTACTTTCATACCACATGGGTGGTATTGCCTATTCTTGAAACTTGATGTCCATAGTAGAGGTATGATCTGTTTTCTTTTCATAATTGGAAAACTGAAAATATAAGACCGCAGTTTCTGTGACGAGACAAAGTTCTACAAGAAGTAAAGCTGCCCTTATCATCATTTTGAAAAACTCTTTTGTAGTAGTTAGCAAATATAATAGCTGACCTAACATTAATCACACAGGTCATCAAGAGCTCATTAATTTATACTGAATAACTTCGAATTGTGTTTAAGACACATATCATTACTTGAAAAATAGGTGATGTTTTAGCTTCTGAGGTGACTTCTTAATCTTCTAAGGTGAATTCTTAATAAAGCGGTCTTCAGCCATCTCCTACATTGTGATGTGCTCCACTGCAATTTTTTGAAAATTATTTATATGAAATAACGGCAGTTGGGGAAATAATTCCACATCTCTTGCACGTAACTTAAATTCTGAGTATGAGGGATTGTTTCTTCGTTAATCTTCAGTCTGATTCACCGGCAATGATGAGTTGATGGAAGGAAGGCTCTCTAGGAAATAACTGAAGATGTATTTTAGTTTCTTAAATGTATTACATTAAAGTCTTGTGTGGTTTGCATTCAAAACCGCTTTGTAAGTATTTTCTTCTCACTATTAAAGAGGGTGGTTAAATTTCGATAGTTAATGTATTAGTAGCCAGTACATGGCACTATGTCCCGAATAGTTTTCTCTGTCCTTTTTAGTGAAGTCACATTGGAAGTCCAGTTAATGCTCTGGTGAAGAATTAGTTGATCTTAGAAGTTTAGTATTTAAAATTTTATTGGTGGAAAAACTTTTTCTTTCATTGTATACTAGGGAAAATAAGAGTTGGAGTGTGTATTATCTGCCTTCAAGCACTCTATTGGGCTAAGGAGTTATATTTTCTTTTGTTATTCTCAATATCAGATAGCAGTAGGTATGTATGGACAGTGTTGTGCTGTTGTGTATAAAAATTGAGAGATTTGATTTCTTTCGCTCTTTTTTCTTCTTGAGCTTATAATAGTACCACTTTGATTAATCATGTTAGAAAGTGATGTTCTTTACCAGCTATTTGCTTTGGTATGCCTGATATTAAACTTCACTAGTTAATTGTATTTAAATATATATATGGTTATTTATATATTTAAATATATATTTATATATTATAAATATGTATATTTATAGATATATAAATGGAATTTTATTCTTTAAGAAATAAAGGAAGATACTGAAATTTCCATTTCATGTGTGAGATACCCCATTAAACCTAAGTAAATTTGAAATCAGTCCTGTTAACATTCTTTATTTTCTATTGGACATTTTAATTACCTCCTGGCTATTTCTTGTAATATAAAAGCTTTTCTCATTTCCTCCAGCTATATCAATAGCATAAGCACCCTTGACTTTTTCATGTTTGTCTTAATATAATCAATTAGTATTTCAAACCTTCTTTTGCTTTATTTTAGGGTTGTTTTTTTTTTTTTTTTTTAAATATTCCTATCAGAGAGGTACCCTTACGTGCCTAACAGCTTAGCTGTTTCTCTCCCAGCTGATAAATGGCAAACTATAGCTGGTAGTGGTGTTAACCTGTTGAATCTTAGTACCTGTCTGTCACTGTCCTGCAGCAAAGCTTTGACTGTTTGTGTTTTTGTTTTTTTTCTTGTGGGTTTTTTTTCTTTTGGCATATTGTGTGACATTTTGGTTTTTGTTGTGGTGTTTCTGACTCTTTGTGCCTTTCCTTTTGTGTTTGTTTTTCCTCCTTTTCTCAGTTTGCAGCGGGG